CTATTCTACTCTGTTGCGTAAACGCTGAATAGGAAAGAGGGGTGTCTGAGGGCAAAGGTGACAAGACCTGGGGAAGTATGGAGCCACGCCCAATGCTCAGGTCTAGTTCTCTTCTTGAAGTGATATCCTGCCACTCACTGTGGATGGAGGATAAGCTCCTGGGCATTCAGTACATTGTTCTACTTTTTCTGTTCAAACTTTTCCACAGGGAGAAAAAACAACAAACCAACAACTTTGCCAGCGGTGGTGGCCCACGCCTTTAGTCCCAGCACTCGGGAGGCTGAGGAAGGTGATCTCTGTGAGTTCGAGGCCAGCCTGGGCTACAGAGCAAGATCCAGGACAGGCGCCAAAGCAACACAGAGAAACCCTGTCTCAAAAATCAAAACAAAACAAAAAAAACCCACCAAACAAATAAAAACAATTTCCATAGCATACCTATAGGTATGATCCACAGCCCTCCCCATAACCCACCAAAAAAGATTTAAAAATTTTTATTGTTTTTGAGACAGGGTCTCTGTATGTATGTAGTTCTGGCAATTCTGGAACTCTCTATGTAGGTAGATCAAGCCAGCCTCAAACTCAAAGAGATCCACCTGCCTCAGCCTCCCAAGTGCTGGGATTAAAGACATGTATCACCAAGCCAAGTTTTCAGGAACGAAATTTCTGTGCAACAAATTACTAATAGACAAATTTAAAAAGAAAAAAGGCCAGAGTGGTAACCTACACCATTGATCCCAGGGAGTCAGAGGCAGGCTGGACATCTCTTGTATTCCAGGCCAGCCTAGACTATATAGTTAGTCAGTTCCTGGCCAGGCAGGGCTACTTATCGAGATCCTGTCTCCAAAGTGGGGAGGGGGGTAAGAGGGAGGTAAAGAGGTAAAGACATAACTAAACCCTTCGTCTTATTTTCCTACCTTTGAACTTTTTTCCCCTTTTAACTTGATCTTTGCCAGTCTCCCCCTCTTGTCAACAGGCCTACTGCCATTTAACAAATGGTGGTTTGGAGGATAAAAGACAGACCCTTAGCACAGGCAGTGGAATTCCAAATGCTAGACTCTTGGCTCCACAATGTCTGATTCAGAACTGCTGGGAGCTATTAGTGGAGCTCGCCCACCCAGGCATGTGAGGCTGGGAGAGCTCCTTTCACACCACCCGCACAAGCCTCTCATTTATGCTACAGGCTTCAATGAGCATGCTTTTGTTCCGCACAGGCACTCATGAAGTCCAATGTAACTCCAGACAGTATCAGGAAGGTCCAGAAGGAAGGAAGAATGATGCAGTTTCGATGTGGACCTGCAACAGATCTTTTTATAAGAATGGGGCAACAGTCCAAGAAAATTACCTTTTCAAAATACTCAAATACAAGGTAAAAGGATCTCCTGTAACAGTCCCAGATGCATTCTGGTTTGAATGACAACACTTGCTATTCTGCAGGCATCTCTTGTTCTTTCCCACCTCCAGCCTTTGTTAAAGACACTATACTTGGAACTGTGGCCCCAATCAGCCTGCACACATTTTCCATCATCCCCCATCTTTGACTGTCAAATCACACCCTTCCTTCAAAACAAGTGTTTATAAAACATTACACCATGACAATCCCTAAAAACCTTTGCTCTCTTTGGTTCTAAGGACTGAACCAAGGGCGTCAGCACCCATGCTAGTTAAGTGCACTACAATTGAGCTATATCCCAAACCTTTAACTCATCCCGATTACTCGTGTTTAAAAAAAATCTTTAAGCCAGGCATGGTGGTGAATGACTTTAGTCCCAGCACTTGGGAGGCAGAGGCAGATGGATCTTTGAGTTTGAGGCCAGCCTAGTCTACAGAGTGAGTTCCAGAATGGCCAGGGCTATAAAGAGGAACCCTGTCTCAAAAAAAAAACAAAAACAAAAACAAAAACCAAACATCTTTACTTTCCTGGAAAGTACGTAGAAATTGTTACCATGCTTCCAACAATGGGGTCAAGAATAGGCATGATAAGCACATAAGCACAGTGGTTCTGTTGTCCTTTACCATACTATTATGTAAGCAGCCTATTTCCAATAGTGGAAAAATAGGCATGAAGTTGGTTGAGGTGCTACACCTCTGTAATCCTAGTACTTGGAAGACTGAAACAGAAGGACTGCTGTAAATCTGAGGCAAAAAAAGGAAGAGGAAGGAGAGGAAGGAGGAGGAAAATATACAATAAAGAATAATGAAGACAGACATCGTACTGCATGCCTGTAACCCCAGCATTTTGGACAGTCCAGGAGGACAGGGAATGCAATCCTCCCTGAAACAAAAGAGATTATAGAACCTGGAGAGGTAGCTCAGCAGTTAAGAGCACTGGCTGCTCTTCCAGAGGACTAGAATTCAATCCCCAGCATCCACACCTGTCTGCATTTCCAATTCCAGGGAATCCAATGCCCTCTTCCTATCCTTATGGGCACTGCACGAATATGGTGCACAGACACACACATATAGGCAAAACACCCATACACACAATAAATAAATAGTTTAAAAACAAAACCAACAGACATGGTGGCTCAGACCTGTATTCTGAACTCCAGAGCATGAGTCGGAAAAGACTGCTTGGGTCCAGCAGCTCCAGGCCTGCCTGGACAACATAATGAAACACTATCTAAAAAAATTTAAAAAAATAAAGGGCTAGGGAGAAGGCTTACTGGGTAAGAACCCACGTAAGAAAAAGGAAGGAGGCTGGAGAGATGTCTCAGCAGATAAAAGCATTTGCTGCTCTTGCAGAGAACCCAGGTTCCCTTTCTAGCACCCACATTTTGGCTCACTACTACCTGTAACCAAATTTCCAAGGGATCTGACACCCTATTCTGAACTGAGGGCACCAGGCAGGCAACATAATGACATGAAAGCAAAACACCCACGCACATAAAATAAATTAATCTTTAAATAATTAAAAAAAAAAAGCCCCAGCACTTGGGAAGCAGAGGCAGGTAGGTCTCTGAGTTTGAGACCAGCCTGGTCCAGGACAGCTAGAACTACACAAAAGCCCAAGCAACATAGCTAATACCGGCCAGCTAGAGAGAGCTACATGGTGAGACCATGTCTCAACAAACCAAGGACTGGACATATAACTTGGTTTTAGATCATCTTTACCATGCACAAAGCCCTAGATTTGATCCCCAGAACTGAAAAAGAAATACTTAAGTCAGCTGTCACTTTTTTCCCCCCTAGTTTTCTGAGACAGGGTTTCTCTGTGTAACATCCCTGGCAGTCCTGGAACTCGCTCTGTAGACCAAGGTGGCCTTGAACTCACAGAAATCCACTGCCTCTGCCTCCTGAGTGCTGGGATTAAATGGTGTGCAGCACCACTGGCCGGCATAGCTGTCACTTTATATCTACGACACTGACACCAAGTAAATGACATGACCATGACTATTTATTTTAAGCACCTATGAGACATTGGCTAGGAATTTGTTTGCTTGTTTTTTGTTTTTTTTTGTTTTGTTTTTCCAAACAGGGTTTCTCTGTGTAGTTTTAGTACCTGTCCAGGTGCCCGCCTGGATTTCACTCTGTAGACCAGGCTGGCCTCGAACTCACAGAGCTCCACCAGGCTCTGCCTCCCAAGTGCTGGGATTAAAGGTGTTCACCACTGCCGCCTGGCTGCTAGATCATTCTTAAGAATACAAAGAGGGCTGGAGAGATGGCTCAGAGGTTAAGAGCACTGACTGCTCTTCCAGAGGTCTTGAGTTCAATTCCCAGCAACTACATGGTAGCTCACAACCATCTATGATGAGATCTGGTGCCCTCTTCTGGCCTGCAGTCATACATGCTGTATACATAAATAAAAAAAAATCTCCAATGGGCTTGGTGGTGCACACCTTAAATCCCAGCACTTGGGAGGCAGAGGCAGACGGACATAGAGATGAGTTCAAGGCCAGCCTGATCTACAAATTGAGTTCCAGGACTGCCAAGACTACAGAGAGAAACTCTGTCTCAAAAAACAAAACAAAGAAAAAAGAAAAAAAAAAAAAAATTCAGAGGGCATGAAAATGAGAAAAAGAAAACAGGGCATGATGGTACATGCCTTTAATCCTAGCTCTTAGGAGGCAGAAGCAGGTGGATCTCTGGGAGTTGGAAGCCAGCCTGGTCTATGTATCATACTCTAGGACTGTCAGGGCTACATACATATGCAAAACAGACAAACAAACAAACAAAAAGACAGGATGTAGCTGTGCTATTGGGGACAAAGATAGGAAGATCACTGTGACAAAGATAGGAAGATCACTAGGGCCTGTCAGTCACCAGCCTAGCTCTGGGCTCAGTGAGGGACCATGTCTCAAGGGACTAAGACAAAGTGTGGTAAAAGCAGGATACCTGATACTCTCTTCCAACCTCTGAACTCTCATACACACAAGTGCAACCCACTCACCACCACCACCCGCACAACTCTTCAAAAAGATAAATAAGGTTCTGGAGAAATGGCTCAGTTGGTAAAGCATTTGCCACACATGAGTATCAAGGACAAGTTTGATCTTTAACACCAACCTAAATGGCTGGTGTGGTGGTATGAGCTGAGAAGGTAGGGACAGGCAGACAGACCCCTACGATCTGATGATCAACCACTCTAGCCTATCAGTGAGGTTAGGGAGACACTCAAAAATCAAAGTGAATGGCTCCTGAGAAAGGACATCTAATGGTCTCCAAAGGCGTACGCATACACATGAATGTAAACACACAAAGTTATATACAAATAAATAAATAAACTCTTAAATTATCTCAGTATCAATCCAAAAACACAGAGCAGGGTGTGGTAACACACCCCTGCAATCCAAGAGTTTGGGAGAATGAGACAGGACAACACTAGTTCCAGGCCAACAGACAATGTCTCAATACATACATACTCATACCTTTTTACTTTTTTGTTCATTTTTGCTGTTAAATGTCCTAACCAAAATTAACACATTTGCTGAGGTAAACTGCATTCAGGTATATGTGACTAGAAAGAGCTGGGAAAGCAACCAATTAGCTCTTCTAAGTCTCACCAGCTGTGTTTTCCTGATGACAGAAGCTCTGTCCACCTGCTCCCACAGATGGTACAGCTGAAGTAAAACACCTGGTTCAGTAGTACATCCACTCCATGCAGTCAGAACAATGCTAGCTGTGAAGACACCAAGCCCAAATCAGTATTTTCATTTTATTATCTACACAAAGATCAAAATCATAACTAAAATAGATTTCTACCTTCCAAACACAAATACTATAATCTCAAAGTAAAACAATAATATCTAAATTGATAACTGCTGGAGTCACAGATCACCTAGAGCTTTACTTACCTATCCTAACTTTTGGTGGCCAGTCTGGTCTACATAGCAAGCATCTGAGCCAGTCAGGCAATATAGCCTGACCTTTTTTAAAAAATAAAAATAAATATAGAAATAAAAATAAAAGACAAAATCATTTTTAAAAGCCAGACATAGGCAGGGTGGCACTGTAGTGGTATTTGCTCTGCCCATGAGGCGAGGTGGTTCTTCTTGCTGTTGTACATGACCTCTCATAAGGAAAGGGGGAAGAGTCACATGCCCCTTCTCCCTGCTTCTGCCTGTGAGGCGGATTCACTTGCACTCAGATCAGAGAATGATTTCAGCTGTCTCCTCTGTTCTCTACTTGTGAGTGTATTTCCTAAATTTCTATCTTAATAAATCCCTATTACCCATTAAAGAGACTCATGTGGATTGATCATAATAAGTGGCGCCCAACGTGGGACACGAACCCACAACTCTGAGATTAAGAGTCTCATGCTCTACCGACTGTGATCATAATATAGCACATCTTTAAACCCAGCTCTCCGCAGGCAGAGTCAGGCCAACCTCTGTGAATTTGAGGCCAGCCTGGTCTGTAGAATGAGTTCCAAGAGAGCCATGCTACACAGAGAAACCCTGCTCAAAAAACAAAACAAAATGACAGGCATTGTGCCAGAAAGATGACTCAGCAAGTACAGGTGCTTGTCATCAAGTCTGATCTGATGACTTGAATTCAATCCCCGGAACCACAGGAGGGAAACTGACTCACAGGAGCTGTTCTTTGACCTCCACATGTGGCACACACACCTATAAGTAAGTGTAAACAAGGTTTTAAAAGACTTATCAATATTGGCAAATTTATAGGCTGGAAAGATGATTCAGCAGTTAATAGCAATTACTGTTCTTCCAGAGTACCTGAGTTCAGTTCCCAACACCCATGTGGGGTGGCTCACACACCTGCACTCACAAGCACATACCAACAGACACACACTTAAAACAAATCTTTTTATTTTTTTTTTTTTAGTACACTATCAAAGTTTAAATCAGTGGTTTTTATTTATTTATTTTTGAGACAGAGTCTCACTACATAGTCTCGGCTTTCTGGAATTCATTACATAGACCAGGCTGCCCTTGGATTCACCAAAACCCACCTTCCTCTGCCTCCCAAGTGCTACAGTTATGGGATTAGAGTGATGAGATTGAACCTGTACACCACCATACCCAGCCAATGATTTATTTCTTGTGCAAATTAAAAACTCATCAGATGACAGATAATTTCATGCCTTAGTCACCTGCACATTAAACCATCACAAATCCCTTATGAAGTCACAAAACTGAATATGAGGTGGCAATATAGACTTCTGAATGTGCCACACCCAAAAATTCAAAATCCAATAGGGAAAACAGATCCTAGAAAGAAAGCTCAGCAGTTAAGAGCACTTACTGTGGGGTACTGCTGTGTATCGGTAAAGCAGGGAGCCATGGGGAGCTTCCGAGGCCTGCATCTAGCAGCAGGAGATTGTTTTAGGTTATATGAAAGAAATGCTTCCTTGTCTCTAAGGTTTACCAGAAACACTGACTTAAAGAGGATCAATGAATTTTGCACCAAGCCACAGTAAAGTCCCAAAACTCCATTACACACTCATAGCACAGAATATTGTTAGAAAAACTCACAGACTTAGAGAAGACATTGGTGTTGTCAAAGCACTTCAAAAAGGAGGAAGAAATCCTAGAGCCATCTCAATTGATGTTGTTGATGGCGGAAAAGAACATGATGCAGGTGAAGATCAGTTATTTAATGACTGTCCTGACAGTGGCAAGATGCATCTACATGGTTATTGAGGAAATCTGTTAAGACTGTCTTTAACAAGCCTGAACCCAGAAAGCCCATCTGAGAGAGGACCAGCTATGAAGGCCAAAACAGAGCAGAAGTATTTGTACCGGCTAGATTTTGAAAACTCCAGAGTAATGTTCCAACAACAAGCCTGCATTAAAAACAATGTGAGTGCTCGATTTGGTAGCACATATACTAAAATTGCGATGATACAGAGATTAGCACAGCCTCTGCGCAAAGACACACAAATAGTGAAGCGTTCCACTTCACAGACATACACTTTGCAGAGATTCAACTCCCAGGCTCAACCCCCAGCACACACAGGGTGGTTCACAACCATCTATCTGTAACTTCAGTTCCAGAGGAACTGGTGCCTTCTTCTGACCTCCATGGACAACAAGCATGCACATGTGCACATACATACGTAGAGTCAAAATATATAACAAAAATTGAATAAATCTAATTTTTAAAATTAAGAAAAACAAGCTTTCAACAGATGACACCTCCATTATTTAAAATAAAAAGAGCAGAAGAGTAGTCCAATAAGATGGTTCAGCTTGTCGAGGCATTTACTGCCAAGCCTGAGGGCCTGAGTGGATCCCCTGCTCTCACATGGTAGGACAGAGCTGGCACCTCCAAGCTTGTTCTCTGACCTCCACCAGCACACCACGGTATAGGAGCCTATGCAAATACATCACACACACAATGGGGGAGGGGGGCATGATGACTACGGATGGACACCTACCAACTCTATCTTCAAAATATTCTGAATCTCAACTAGGTGATGGTGGTGCACGCCTTTAAGGCAGGCAGATCTCTGAGTTCAAGGCCATCCTGATCTACAAAGCTAGTTCCAGGATAATCATGGCAGTTACATAGAGAAATCCTGTCTCCAAAAAAAAAAAAACAATAGATAGATAGATAGATAGATAGATAGATAGATAATAAATAGAATCAAAAATCTGAATCTCAAAAAAAAGAAAGGTAGATAGATGTGAATGCAACTATTTCTATATCCACTGTTAATATTCTGGTGCCAATTGGTCACCTCCCTGTCTTAGGCTCAATCAGTAATGTCTTATTACTTCATACCCCAGGTTCCATTCTTGACTCACAAAATGTTTTCTCCAAAAGCAAAGTGATCTCTTCAAGTGTAAAACCATATCAAAACATGCTACCTAATTAGTATGTACAATTCTTGTATTTTTTTTCCTAATCAGTAACAAAATAAACTTGAGTATGCTGGAGAGATAGCCTAGCAGTTATGAGTATTTGGAGCTCTTCTTGAGGACCCCAGTTCAGTTCCCAGCACTTAGGCACCTCCCAACTGTCTCTAATTCTCAGCACCAGGGAATCCAATGCATCTGGCTTCTTTGGGCATCTGCACACACACAGACAATTTCAAAACAAATAATTTCAAATCAAAAATAGCTGGGCATGGGGGCACATGCCTTTAATCCCAGCACTCTGAAAGCAGAGGCAGGCAGACTTCTGTAACCTGGAGGACAGCCTGGTCTATAGAGTGAGTTCCAGGACAGCAAAGGCTACACAGAGAGATCCCGACTCCAAAAGACTGAAAACAAAAACAAAAACTATGTTTATAAAACTAAACTTGGGCCGTGCGGTGGTGGCAGTGGTGGCGGCAGTGGTGCACGCCTTTAATCCCAGCACTCAGGAGGCAGAGGCAGGTAGATCTCTGTGAGTTCAAGGTCAGCCTGGTCTACAGAGCGAGCTTCAGGACAGATAGGACTACACAGAGAAACACTGTGACTGGGGGGTGGGAGGTGGGGTGGCAAGGACTGAGATCCCTGCCCAAAATGGTTTCTCATCTCTTTCTGAAGAGCTAACCTTCTTGCTAACATCCTTTGTTATCAGGACCATATCCAATGCCCAACTTCTACAACTAACCTGTACTCTAGCCAAACTAACCCCACTGCTGCTCTGTGAATCTACCAAGCATGTTCCCACCTTATGACCATAATATTTGATCTCTTCTTTTATACTTCTGATCTCCCAAAAGTGTACATAGTTACCTTAACTCCTTCAGATCTTTACTCAGATGTCACTTGATAAAAGAATCTTTAGGCCGGGCGGTGGTGGCGCACGCCTTTAATCCCAGCACTCGGGAGGCAGAGCCAGGCGGATCTCTGTGAGTTCGAGGCCAGCCTGGGCTACCAAGTGAGTTCCAGGACAGGCGCAAAGCTACACAGAGAAACCCTGTCTCGAAAAACCAAAAAAAAAAAAAAAAAAAAAAAAAAAGAATCTTTAGGGTATTCTATCTTTTTTTTTTTTCAGAGCTGGGGACCGAACCCAGGGCCTTATGTTTGCTAGGCAAGCACTCTACCACTGAGCTAAATCCCCAACTCCTGGGTATTCTATCAAGTAACATCCCTATTTCCATCTTTTCTGTATCCAACATACCTTTGTGTGTGAGTGCGAATGGTGTATATGTGCTCACCTACCTCTACATGCACATAGGAAACCAGAGGTCAATGCCTGGTTTCTTCTACCAATCACCTTATTTTCTGAGATCTCTGGACTTAGAGTTTAATTGTGGCCAGACTGATCAGCAGTCCCCCAAAATCTGCCTGTCTTTGCCCCCTAGTGCTGGTGTCACAGGTGTTTGCCACCATGCCTGGCCTTTTACATGAGAGCTGGGTTGATCTAAACTCAAGGACCTCAAGCTTGAGCACAAGTACTCTGCCGAGTCATCACCCTAGCCCCCTTATTAATTTTATGTGGTTTTTTTTTTTTTTTTTTTTTTTTTTTTTTTTTTGGTTTTTCGAGACAGGGTTTCTCTGTGTAGCTTTGCGCCTTTTCCTGGAACTCACTTGGTAGCCCAGGCTGGCCTTGAACTCACAGAGATCCGCCTGGCTCTGCCTCCCGAGTGCTGGGATTAAAGGCGTGCGCCACCACCGCCCGGCGTGTATGGGTGTTTTACCAGCCGTGTTTGTGTATCACATGTGCATTGTCTGCTAAAGCCATGAAAGGACACATCAGACCCCTGGAACTGGAGTTAAGGAC